TCAATTAAGAAATGGAGACGTAACAATGTATTATCTCCTAGAGAATGACAAAGAAACAAAGGCAGCTAGAACGAGAGGAACTTAATGCTTTCTCGACCATGTATTATGTAAAACGTGCACAGATACAGAATAAAATATATATTTAGAATAAATTATATTATAAAACAAGAAAATAGAAACGTAGTATACTCATATAACTCATGGGGATAAGTTTCTCTTAATTCGTGGATATATTAAATTTTCTACAGTTCACAATGGAATCAGAAAGCTGCAACTTAAGGTGATAAGTATTTAATTGGTTTACTCATATGGATTGTGGTATTTAATTAATAAAAGTAACATACCATTTACATCACAATTATTTTTTATTGCGAGAGAAAGATATTTTTCAACATGTTTCGTTCACATTTTTTGGGCCATCATTTTTTCTTCGTGGAATTATTGAACTTTATATTGAATGTCCGTTGTAGTGTATACGTTAAATTTATATATTTTGTTATGCTTGACTTAGTTGTAAATCTCAGTTTGTTTATATTTATATAGGAGGCGTTTTTAATCTTATTCAATTGATAAAATATAGGAAAAATTAATGTTTAAAATTTTATTCGCTATTGTATTGCCAGAAAATAATAACAATATGAAATAAAACAGTAGTTTGTATTTTGGTTTATAAAGTGGAATAAAAGGAAAATGAGATGCGCGCCACTTTGGGCGGTTTACGATAGTTTGTGTGAATTAATACGGTATATCGTAAACAATTAAAAAAATGTTTAATATATTGTGCTTTGTTTCCTTCAGTTGAGCAGATATGCAAAATTTATATTATTTAATTGTGTTGATAATCTTCTGGTAACTTAAGACGTTTATTATTAATATGAATATGAAAGATAGGTAAGTAGGCCTTGCTCTTGTTTTGAATGTTGTAATTTGTAACGTTATTATTAACAGTATAATTTGCAACTTGTAAGTGTATAAATCTTATTCGGTTATTGTTTTCTCATCCACTCGTCTAGTATAATACTAGTAAATGTCGTTTGTGGATAAAACTATAAATTACACGTTATTTTTTGTAACATACTTGTAAAAGTTGTATTGCTATTATATAGTTGTAAAGTAGTTAATAAGTACGTTAACTTAAGTAGTAATTTAGTATTTTAAGAATTGTTTATTTCTGGAACTAGTGGACTGGAAGTAAATTATTGGATATCTCAAGAAATATTCAAACTATAGTTAAAGATAAAATATATTTTTATTGAACTTGTTACTTTAGGTATTCCTTTCATTTAAATTCGTTTATAAAAGCAAGTTAATGTTGAATTACGTCAGTGATAATCATAGAATAAAGTAATATATATGTAGTCAAGGTGCCAGACCTCTACTTGCCTAGTCTGACATTGGATCTTAAGTTTATGGAAAAACTTAACTTATGACATTGGAAAAGTTTATGTGTACCATAGTATGTAATGAATCCATTAAAATTTACCAATGAATAATTTTACAGACTATGTAAAAATATATTGCACACTGTCCTGATATTAAGAAATATTTTGTGTACATTATATAATGACATTTTACATTCCATACTATAGAGAACTTAGCATGCACAATTATAAAATATATATTTCATCTGTTACAATTATTCTGTTTCACAATAGTAAACATAAATACCTTACATGCAATAACTGTATATATTTTTTTACTGTAATGACTTTAATAATCCCAACTAGTCTGAGATCAGTTGGTATTTTTGTAAGCCAAACATTTTTACACCCAGTTGGCAACCATACTGGACAAGCATATTCAGTGACAGAGAATCAAACTTGTGACACGTAGATTGCGAGTGGAGCACCCTAACCACCATTCCATACCAGGCCCTTTAAGTGCAATAATTACTGAATTTTATTATCATTACACAGACAATATTCAAGTACTATGAGAGAGTGTGTGCTATACATATAGAGCCTGTAAAAGTTGTCCAAGGTAAACTTCAAGGTATTTTTAGACTGAGAGTTGGATTACTGTGTGAATGTTAAAAGTAAGGATTTTTACACTATTATTTGTAATTAAAGAGGCATAGGCATTGCAGAAATTTTACTGGGAGGGAGGTGTGTGTGTGTGGTGGGTGGGGGGGGGGGCAAAGTAGTGTGAAATTGTGAAGTGAATAAAAAAACTTGTAAATTCATATACGTAAATTGAATGAATAAAGATAGAATTATGTGTCTCTGTGGAGATGTTAAATGTTTCTGCTTCCATGATAAAGTTTTTGCAAAAATGTCAAAATTCTAATTTGTGTTATATCTAGTAGATAAGCTTCATTTACTAGTATGCCATTCATGTGTATCAGTACTTTGGTTTTGGTTACAATTTTTATACATTAAAAAGGTAAGAAAAGTATATATAATTGTTCATTGCCAGGCTGTTTTTTTATTTTTGATCTAAGTAGGTTGTTTGCTCTGATCGAAAGTTAATATTTTGTTTTGTGTAAGAGAAAAAGCTCCAGAACCTCTTCCCTCCTAATTTACATGCTCATTTTTATACTGTATTTTTAATTAAAACTGTTTTTGGTTGAATGACTATTCATGTAAGAAATAATTGTCTGAGCTAATTGGAATTTTTTATGTTTTTCATAAATGAAATAATAGTTTGGGGCTATTTAAATGTTTCTGTAATGGAATCTTATGTTTGGGGCTATTTAAATGTTTCTGTCATGGAATCTTATGTTTGGGGCTAGTTAAATGTTTCTGTCATGGAATCTTATGTTTGGAACTAGTTAAATGTTTCTGTCATGGAATCTTATGTTTAGGGCTAGTTAAATGTTTCTGTAATGGAATCTTATGTTTGGAGCTAGTTAAATGTTTCTGTCATGGAATCTTATGTTTGGAGCTAGTTAAATGTTTCTGTCATGGAATCTTATGTTTGGGGCTAGTTAAATGTTTCTGTCATGGAATCTTATGTTTGGAGCTAGTTAAATGTTTTTGTCATGGAATCTTATGTTTGGGACTAGTTAAATGTTTCTGTCATGGAATCTTATGTTTGGGACTAGTTAAATGTTTCTGTCATGGAATCTTATGTTTGGGACTAGTTAAATGTTTCTGTCATGAAATCTTATGTTTGGGACTATTTAAATGTTTCTGTAATGGAATCTTATGAATGTGACAATTCATATCATGTGGAACATAATAAGACAGATTGTCAAAAATTAATGCGATTAAAAAGATTTTACTGTGTCATGCGAGTCTTCAAATTGATGCTCATTAAAACATTGTAGTAGAAAAGTATCTTAAAGAGGTACCATAAAACACTCGTAAACTTCATTTTAATCCATAATGTAAGGTAATGTGAAGTTTGTAAGAACATTGTTTAACAACTTGAAGTTCTTGGAAGTACTCTTTATTCTTCCATTTATCAGTTTTTCATTATTATAACTTCAATAAAAATGTGAAAATGATTGTGGTGAAAGCTTGTTGTTCCTCTGTAATTACTCACCTCAACAACCAACCAAAGCATTAGAATAAACAAAATGTAACCCAGCATGTTGATATATATCTATCCAGCAAAAATGTGAAAAATTGTATCTGTCACCTCATGACCACATCATCAGGTAAACAGTTTCACAGATTTATAACCAGCAGATAAATATTTCTGCTAAAAATTATTATTGTACACATTTATATATTTTATATATTATTTTTTCTGTTATGGTAAATACATTGTATAAAATATGTTACTGATGAAACATCTGGACTGTTCTGATCAATAAATATTTGGCCTATGTATGCTCACTCCAGAGGAATAAAATTTTAAATCCATTCTTTTATTTTTCAGAAAATCATCTGTTTTACTTTTAAACTCTTGTAAGGTGCCATAATGGCAATTCATTCCATAAAGTATTTACCCTCTTAGAAAAACAAAACTGGGTTAACTGGAGCATAGCTTGTGTTTTCCTGATCTTTTATTTTTGTCTTCTCATCCTATTGTCATCAGGATACAGCACTGTGAAATTAGTGACCTTTATCCTACAATTCCTTGGATAATATCTTAAATTTCAATTACATTACCTCTTATGCTTCTTTTCTGAAATGAGCACAAGCTAAGAAGTCTACACCTTTCTACAAGGTAACTCTTCCAATTGTGGTATCATCCTAGTAGACCTCCTCTGAACTCTCTCTAGTTAGTATCCTTTCTCAGTTAAGGAAACCAGTACTGTACACAGTTTTCCAAATGAGACTTAAATAGTGATTTATTTAAAAAGATAATTTCACCTCTTTGATCATTATGCCTATAAATACAATATAAAACCTTTTAGGTTTACTGCTAGCAACAGAGCATTGTTTCAATGGTGTAAGGGACCGATCCACCACTACATCAAGATTTGTTTCTTCAAACTATCATTGCATAAAAATCACTATTTTAGTTGCTGTACTATTGTAATTTTACTTTCAGTTTGGTTGTACTATAGTAGTTTCACTATTAGTGTGGTTGTAATATTTATAGTAGTTTCACTATTAGTGTGGTTGTAATATTTATAGTAGTTTCACTATTAGTGTGGTTGTAATATTTATAGTAGTTTCACTATTAGTGTGGTTGTAATATTTATAGTAGTTTGACTGTTAGTGTGGTTGTAATATTTACAGTAGTTTCACTATTAGTGTGGTTGTAATATTTATAGTAGTTTACTGTTAGTGTGGTTGTAATATTTATAGTAGTTTCACTGTCAGTGTGGTTGTAATATTTATAGTAGTTTCACTGTTAGTGTGTTTGTATTATAGTAGTTTCACTATGAGTGTGGTTGTACTATTGGTGTATAGGTGTTATACTATAGGTGTTTCACTATCAGTGTGGTTGTACTATAGTGGCTTTAATATTAGTGTGGCTCTGCTATAATAATATCACATTTAATATGGTTCTTCTACAACAGTGTGTTTCAAACTGGTATGCATACCCTTTGGGAGGTATGCAGTGGTCATTGAAGGAGTGTGCAAAATGAAAGGGAAAAAAATAAAACAAAGTAAGAATTTTTTATTGTTCTAAATAAGAAATATTTGTAATGTTTTTATGCATCTGAATTTTGTGAGTTATAGTGCATGTGACTCCCTCTATTCAATTTTACCAAACTATCACTTCTCGTTTGGCAGTACTCATGTTCAGATGCTTTTTCTTTTGGTGCTCTTCGTGTGAATAGTGATTTTAATAGTTTAATTTCTGTAGTGGGATTTCTTCATTATTATTTTTTCTTTACATTGAAGAAATCTTTTAATTTAACTTAATATCCCAATCTTTTTTTCTTTCTAACATTCGTATATTTTACATCAAACACTTTTGTTTGATTTATGTATTTCTACAATGAATTCTGAGGTTCATGTTCCCAATTTGGGTGTTATACCTCTAGCACGATTTTCACAGGCTGCAGGTGAGGGAGACCTGTTGCATTTTTCTGCTATTATCCATTGTAAGATTGATCGTTTTGCTCCTGAACTTGCTCCATTAATCCTCCTGAACAAGCCAAATCTGTTTGGATCAATGAAGATTTGATAGCTTTTTTACACCACCTGATTTGCTGTGTTTTCCTTACCCCTCCTGCAGAATCAGCTAGGCCACATACAGCATTTTATGATATGGTTTCTCAGGTATATTATGTTTTATCCAATTTCCTATTTTTCCATGATTCCTTATTATCTTTATATTGGCTCGATTGTCTTCTTCAGCTCTCACTTTATACATGTGGTTTGACTGTAGTTGGGATTTTTTGGGACATGATGTGTCCTTGTCCAAGGTACATTTGCTGCCTCTTTCTTTTTGGAATTTTTGTATTTTTTCTTTGGTGGTATGTTTTCAATCATGTATCTGAGACTTTGGAATATTGTGTATAATCTGTGCATCAACACTCAACCCATTACTCTTTGGTTACATGTTTGTTGCAGTTAAAATCATAACACATCCCTATTCCTTTCCAGTCCCGGTCATTATCTGTCCATCCCTGTCTCCTCTTCCAGGGGTTTCTCATCTTGTCATTTTATTCAAAGTCGATGGGCATGTTGCCAATATTACCAGAGACTAATTAGAGGGTTCCGGTCCAGTGGGAGCTTAACTATATTATATTGTTACCCAATGGTGATCTTTCACTCCAGTTCCATGGGTTTTTCAGGTTTTATCAGAGGGACTTGTCCTACTATTTCTTCCCCACCTCTTTTGTCCCTGGTACCCGTCGCCTTCCCCAAGACTTGGAATCCTGCTACCAGCTTGCATCTGTTCAAAGTGGTAGAAGATTTACTGTCTCTACAGGTCATTGCACCTGTTCATCATCTTTCTCCAGGTTGTTTGTTGCCCTTGCACCAAACCGGAGACAGTCGGCCTATTACTAGGTTTGTCCCACCTTATTCTAATTTTCAATCTGCCCTATTTTACCTTGGAGTTGTTTCGCACAATTAGGTGAGCTTTTTTTCCAGGTTTATTATTGTCAAAGAGGAATGTCACAAATGCTTATTTGCATATCTCGATATTTTGTCACTCATGACCCTCTCTTCAGTTTATTCTCCACAGGGTGATTTCTCTGTTTTTTACATTGCCCTTCAGATTTGTCTCGGCCCTGTATGTTTTTGTCAGGCTTTCAGAGCCTTCATTCATCACTTATATGCTCTCAGGTTGCATTTTCCTCTTCCTTTGGTCGAGTGGCTACTGTTTGCTCATCCTGTACAGGAGTCTGCCTGTTACCCTTAGAGCTGCTCCTGGAAGCAGCTATAGTGGGCTATTAATAATATTTTTGAAGTCCTGACTGTGACCTATCCAATGTCTGTTCAATGGGTTTTCAGTTCGATTACAGCTTGCAAAGGTCTATCTCTTGTGGGGATGTGATCTTCCATGATATATCTTATCCCCTTAGGTCAGGCTCATATGCAGGCTCTTATATGGGCTTTTCACGACCAGTGGAAGTTAGCAGGGATCCTTTGTCTGCTCTTATTACCCTTGTCATTGATCGGTATTGGTGGTTAGATATGACTCGCACATCGGCAGGTGTCCCACTTCTTCTTCCTAATCCAGTTTTCCACATTTCATGGACGCGTCCCTTTAGGGATGTAGGGCATGGGTTGATCAACTGGACGATTCGGGGTTTTTGGTCTGTGGACCAAGAGGTCTTATTCTATCTACGTCCTGGTGCTTCTTACTGTAGGTCGTGTTTTGGTTCATTTCCTCAACTGGCCAGTAATCATCTGGTAATGAGGCACCCATTCTCCATCCCTCTGTATTCATACATTGGATCTTCTTTTTGAGCCCCCACACTTGATATTCCTATCCTTGTGTGTCATGTTCCAGGTGCTTTTGCTCTTGCTGTGGATCGGATTCCTGTCCAGACAACATTTATCTGACAGAATGGTCTCTTGATCCTTTTGTTTTCCAGGGGCTTTAACTTCAGTGGGGTATTCCTCACATTGAGGCTCTTGCTACGTAACTTACCATAAATTGCCTTGGTTTTGGTCTCCAGTTCCTCATCTTCTTGCTCTGGCTATCGATGTTTTCAGCCAGGATTGGACCTACACATTTGTCTGTCCTCTTGTTTTCCTTCTTCTCCAGGTGATTTTGCTCATCCTTGACACTCCGTGTTCAGTTCTTCTGATAGCTCTTTCCTGGTCGCTTCAGCTGGGGTTTTTGCAGCTTCTCCAGCTCCAAATTCCTCTTTCGTTACTTTTTCCTCTATCTCTGTCCCCTCTTCACCACCCTCAGTCACCGGTGTTTCATCCAGACCTTCCTCTCCTTTGTCTTCATACCTGATTTTCCTCTGGTCATTGGCGAGGTGATCCTACTTCTCCCAATGGTTAGCCTCTTTTCTGGCTTGTTTCATTCGCCCTTCCAACATGGAAGTTTTTCACCACAAATGGAATTTTTCCATCATTGGTTTCTAGATCCAGGGTTTTCCCCTGATCAACCCAATGTTCTTCATCATGCAGATTTCTTCTTTTGTCTTTTGGATCGGGGGTCTTCTGTCTCCTCGGTCTTGAATTTTCAGGCAGTCTTGTCCCATACATTTTGTTTTTCCTGGTCCCATAGGTACTTACCTCTTTTAAACTTTATCTGTAGATGTGTTTTTTCCGGAGTTGTCATCTGCTGGGGCGAGCTGCTCTTCTGGATGGGGATATTAATATGATCCTGCGCTACCTCACTTTGTCTATGTCGAACCATTCTCCTAGTGCTCCTTGTTTCATCTTCCCCTATATCTTCCTTCCTTCTCCTATTTGCTTGTGGATGTTGGTGGTCTGTTTATTTGCCATCAGTGTTTCTCGTGCTCTTTCTTTGGATCATTTTTCCTCCCTAACATTTCAGCGACATGTGAGGATGACTCCTCAGTTTAGCCACTTTCCCTTCCTTCCGTTTTACACCTTTATCCTCGTCCTGATCTGGATAGACTTACTTCTGTGGTGTCCATTCCTGCTTCTTTCTTCCATGGCAACTGTCCTCTGTTTGTGTTCTTTATCCTTCCTCCTTTGCCAGTTGGGTTTGGCTCTTCATTCAATTGGCTTCTTCCTCTTTAACGTCTTTCTCCAGCCCTTTATTCTGAGTGTCTTCTCACCCAATTTGACACCTTACCTTTTCATTGGCGTTTCATCTTTGTTGTCCTTTGGATGTACTTCTTCAATCAGGCATGTGGATTACCCATGATACGTTCGTCTCTCACTATTTGCATCGGATCCTGGTTTTTCCTCCTCATCAGGTTAGCGTTTTCTGCCTGTAGCCATTCTAGAATGTCAGAATTTGGTGAGACTTTGACTAAGTTTTTTTTCTTACTTTTCCTTTTCAGGGGCCCTTTACTCTTTTATTAATGTTCATTGTTTGGATCCCACCAATGTTCTAACTGGAAATAATAGATCTAATCTTTGGATTCTACAGCCAATTTTTTCCTTCAAGCAGCTTATGTTTTTAATAACTGATTGTGTAATGCAAATGTTAAATTTTTAAACACAAAATGACTGGAAAACATATTAATCCAATTATTTCAACACCATACCAGGCCTGAGACTAGACTCCAAATTTTATGCATAAAACTCCTACTCATAAAGCACTTCTAACATATTCTAACACATCATCCATAGAGCAGTAACATTTCTTTACACAGGTGTATTTCCTCTTTCATTCACAATTACTATTTAGAATGTTTATGAGGTACTTGGTGCAGAGCATACTAACATTTTTACATGTCAATTTCACAAGCCATGGAGCCCTGAATCATCTAACCTTTAAACAAGGCATATTGTAGCCGTAGACCCCCAGATTACAATATCCCAACAGATAAGTGAGCAGCTTTGTTCGTGGCTTAGCCGATCACTAGCCCAGGTTCTTTGGGACAACACAATCAGCCTTGGCCAAGGTTATGAACCACTTGGAATACATCATCTTGAACAATCATTGCTTGACCTGTATACACATTACATACACACATCAAATATAGCTTACACACACACATAAATGTGTACACTACTTGTTAGACATGATAGGCTGTAAATACTGTATACATCGTACACGAGCGCAGCTATCACACACGTCTTCGAGCTAAACATTCATTGCATGGGCATTCATAGTGACACCATTTGTGGATTGTACATGACTGACAAGTGTTTAGAAATTTGGTTTGTCATAAGTTCTGTTCAATTCAGAAATGCTTAGATCAATTTATGTGGAGTCAAACTTTTAATGGCTCTTTTGATTTTAATGGGCCACACAGGCTACCTACCAGACACTTTTTTTTTGGGTCCGCCAGCATTTTTGGGGGCCATTAGCACTCTGGCCCCTGCTAATTTCGAGCCCTAGACTTTTGCTTCCTCTACCCCTCTCAATCCTTGTCGTTTTTCCTTTCCATCCTCCATCAATATACAATGTCTTGAGGAGACTGTGTTTTTTTAATACCTCCAAATTTTTCCTTACTCCTACTCAATATCTTATTCACTTGGGAGTATTTTTCAACTCCTTTCTCAGCTGTCCTCATCCTCATCTACCTTTGAGCTATGGAAATAGTAGTCACCAGGATTCACACCTATCTTACTCATACTGTATGAGAGGTTTTTCTCTTTTGGGGACCATGGCTTCATTGAAACTACTTATCACTTTGGGTCACGCACATATGATCCTCCTCCATTTGTCCTTGCATGACCAGAGGAACTATTCATGGGAACCTTTGACCTCATTGGTTCATTTGCCTTCTCTACTCAAGGATATGTATTGGTGGCTGGACCAACCCAATATCACCAGTAGTGTTCCATTACCTCCACTGAAACTTGGACCTTCAGCTCTTTACAGATGTTTCTGTTTTGGGCATGGTCTTAGAGTTCTTTTTTTTTTTTTCTTAACAAGTCTCTTTTGTGAGGCATCTTGTCAAATGTTTTCTGAAAACCCAGATACACCAAATTCACACCCTTACCCTACATAAGCAATAACCTCATCAGAAAGTGTTGAAAGATTATTAAGGTAACATTTTCTCTTAGTAAAACTTTGTTGACCATCCAACAAACTTATAAACTTTGTTACGTGACTTTGAAAAGCATCTTTTACCAGACTTTGAAAATTTTTTTCCATCACTGATGTGAAACTAATAGGCCTATAATTACTAGGGCAATTGTAATAACCTCCCTTGAAAATAGGAGTAACATTAGCCAAGTTCCAGTCTTCTGGCACATGCTTATCAAGTTGCTTACATATTCAGTCCTTAACCATCTTCAAAATGCTTGAAATATTATCCAGCTCAGGTGTCTTAATATTCTTTAAACTTCCCAGTGACTATTCAGGATGAGGAATATTGCTTAAATCTTAATGATAGGAAGAGCTGATATGAAAGAATATTTCTGAATTGAATGTAATCTATTAATGAGGCTGATGATTAATTGGTTGTGAAATTCCCAGAATTGTCCTGCTCACTGTAAGCATAGTTCTGTTGTACTTAATATCACTGTTAATGTGGTTCTGCTAGATTTAATGTCACTGTTAATGTGGTTCTGCTATACTTGTTATCACTGTTAGCATGGTTCTGCTATACTTGTTTTCACTATAAGCATGGTTCTGCTATACTTGTTTTCACTATAAGCATGGTTTTGCTGTACTGTTGTTACTGTTTGTGTGGTTCTGCTCTTGTAATAATTCTGATAACATGGTTATGATACAGCAATATCCCTGTTGTTAAGCATGAATTTTGGTAAAGCAGTTCCCTTTGTGTGGTTCTGCATCATGTATTGGTTCTGTTGTAGTATTGTTATTGTGTGTGAGGATCATTTTGTTGGTATCAGTAATTTTAGATGAGTTAATGTAAAAGTTACATGTAGTATTGATTTCAATTATCAAACCTTTTTTATTTTGTTATTGTTCCTTTTTTGTAAAAAAAAAGGTAAATCTATACAGTAGAGGAAAGGCATTATGACTATGAAGTTCATATTTATTTTTATACTTTTATAGTGATTTCTCATTGTATTTAAGTTTGTTCTGACTGAAAATCAATGGAGTAAACAGTGATATATTTTAATTTCTACAAAAAAAAACTCTCAACAGGAATATTTAATGCCATTCACTTGATCAGGATATTATATATTGTAAAAAATAATAACTTTAATTCAAACAAAAGACTTGATTATTTTTCCCATCCAGGTAGTTATCAGGATTTTCCTGACCTTCTGCATTGTGAGAATTTTACAGCAATGGCTGGAAATGCAGATGGGATAGCATGGTTGTTTGAATTACTTCAGGATGTTCAGCTTGAACAATTTTTTGTGAAGATAAGGGATGAACTCCAGGTCACTCGTCTTGCTCATTTTGATTATGTTCAACCGGAAGATCTGGAACGAATTGGAATGGGAAAACCTGCAGCCAGGCGCTTACTTGATGCAGTGAAGAAGCACCGATCTACGTTATGGAAGAAAAACTTAATCAGCAAGGTATTATTCTTAAAAGGAAACTCTGTCTTTGATTATATCTTTACTGTATGTGCTAGCATTATGTCTGTGTTTGTTAAATAATATAATAAGTTATGCAATAATAAACATAAAATGTGGGACTACTTATTGTGTGCTCCATGCATAACACCAAACATTAGGTTGTGCTCCAGTTCATGATATATAAACATTGATAGTCTACTCACTCATTGCGTGACATATGGCTTTAGAAGTAGAAGCCATTCTGCTTATAAAATACTGAAAAACAAAATTGATATTGTTGTTTAATTACCGCAAGACAGCATAACAAAAGAATAATCTTTTCTGAAACACGCATACAAAAAAAAGAAAATGCATCTTGCATGTTTTTTATTTTTATCATTTGTCAGTGAAATAAAATAAAGTTATGATCATATGTAGGCCTGTAGAGTAGAATAGTTGTTTACATGTATTTGAAAGGATTTTATGATAATAGTGGTTTAAGCTATGTTTTTAATTTAGATGTTTGCTAGAGGGAGCTAGTGGTGATGATGATGTAATCTTTTAGAAATTTTATGGAGTACATAAAAATAAGGGTACATTATAAATACGAGAATCAGTGAAGTAATGATGAGTGAATGAGTTATTCAGTTATTCAGTTTCTTGATCAGTTAGTTGTGTAATTCTACAAGTAAGTTTATTTGTGAGTTAAGCATACCATTAGTGTTGGGAATCTGTTTAAACATTGTGAATTTAGGACTACAGTTTTTGGCAAAGCAAATGTAGAAAACATTAATAAAGAAGTCTAATAATACAATGCATTACAACATTGATGTAAGAAGTGGGATTATTTTGGTAAAAATAAAATAGAACTTTGACTAAGCTTCAGGATGACAAGAAGATTATGAAGTGGGATCAAAAATTTGCTAGAAATTATGAAATTGTTAAATGAAGGCCAAGAAGAAAATTAGAATTCTACATTTCAATGTTTAATGAAATGTGCTCTCTCTTTCTCTTGGAACTACTCCTGAATATCATACTAATGTACTTGGATGACATAATCTCACATGTGAAGACTTTTGATAATGCTTATGATGGGCTAAGGAAAGTTCTGGATCAGTTAAGGAAAGAGAACCTTAAGTTGAATTCCAAGAAGCATGAATTGTTTCATTAAAAAGTGAGTTTTCTGAGCACATAGTCAGCAGAGAGGAAGTGTCTGCAGACCTATCTAAGTTTGAACCTGTTCAGATTTGGCCAACACCCAAGAATTTATGTGTACCCAGAGGATTTCTTAGACTGTGCTCTTAGTGCCGTTGTTTTGTAAAATCAGTCTCTGCCATAGCTTGTCCTCTAATCACTTGAAAAAAGAAATAAGTGTTTGTTGGTGTCAAACTAAAGAAAGAATTTACCACTACTCCTGTATTAATATACCGTGGAAAGAGGGAAGCATGAGACAGTAAAGATGACCAACCTCAAGTACCACAGAGTACAGCCTAAGTGGTGTTTAAGAACTAATGTGGCCCAATACTCAAAGATTCTCGGGCAGAAGATACAAGTTTGAAATAAGTGATTCAGGGGATAAAGAACAGCACAGAAAAACCATCTTCGCAAACAGTTGCTCCATTCAATCCAAAGATAAAGATGTATTAGGCATGGTGGTATTCATTATGCCTACAAGAGGGCTTTTTATGTTGGAAATGGTAAAATACCAATGGACAGAAACAATGACAACTGTCGGCTCTTCCACAGCCTCTACATTATGAAGCATTCTGTCATTTACACAACATTCCAACAGCTGGATACTTAGGTGTAAAGATACTGGAAAGAATATGAGAGATCTTCTATTGGGTTGTGTGCCATGGATCTGTAGAGAATTGGTGTAAATTATGTGAACTCTGAGCAAAAATGTCCATCCAAGAAACAGCATGGATAGCTGCAGCAGTGTTGTGTTGGAGCACAACTTTCAGAGAGTTGCTGTTTATGTGCTTGGTCCCCTGCCACAGATTACTAGCAGGAATAAATGTATTATGGTTGTGATAGACTGTTATACCAAATGGTCAGAAGCATATGCTGTACCAAACCAGGAAGTGAAAACTCATCAGCAAGTTAATTTCAAGATTTGGGGTGCATATGTAAATTCACTAAGATCAAGGCTAGAACTTTGTACTGGCCTTGTAGAGACCAGGAAAACAGTCTTTCATCCATCTTGTGATGGTATGATGGAGAGACACAACTGTACACTTTTAAACCAATTAGCCATTTATGTGGATGAGCATCAGAAAATGTGGTGTCAAGACCTTTCATTGCTGTTTATGAGTTATTGAATAACAGAATATGAAAGCATAGGTAATACACCTTCAATAATCTTTGTGTTTGTAGATTATCACCTATTATAAGATGCTGCACTTTGTTTACCTTGACTGGGACACAACTTGTCACAGGTCTATTTCTGAATGGTCCTGGTGCCCCAAGTTAATCTATATTCCTTTGTTTTTCAGTGCCATTAAGTACAAGGGATATACCGGTCTCAGAAATTCTAAATCTGTGATCTGAATACATACCAATGATCTGTATGAACATTTTGTGTCAGAAAGGGCTGTTGCATCTCCTTTCCAAAAGCAATCAATTTTTGGTGGTATCATACTACTTATGAAATGTCAAACAATGTCAAAATATAGTTCTGATACATTCCATTCCACAACAACTCTATATCTGTTGTGGTTGTCACTTGACTTGCTGATTTACATATTCAAGATTGCTTTTTTAATATAATGTACTCAACCTTTATATATATTTAGAGAAATGATTTTTTTTGCTTTTGAGAATTAATTTTCTTACATTTTCAGAAAAAGCAGTTATTAAAAGATTGTTTTTTTTTTTTACAATTTCAATGAAATAAGATTGTTACTTAAATAATTAAACCAATTTTCTGGTATTATTATTATATAAAAATATTTCAGTGATCTTTAGCTTTTGAGACATATGAATATATATTTTGTGTGAAAGAGAAACTGCTTAAAGTTGCAAGCTATATAGCTTTAACAGTTTGTAAAGAATTTTTAAGAGATTCATAAATGTATTTGATAAAATTTTATACAAGTATTTTTTTGTGTTGGATCTATAGGAAAGGCTTCAATACTTCTATGAAATTTTTTTTCTTTCAAAACAGACATTTTAGATAAATACAAGACTGCGAATAAATAGTTTTTAAAATTAAGTAATAGTTTGAGAGACAAGTCAAAAATCATTTCAATAAATAACACCAGTAATTTTAACTTGAGATTGAAGCTTTACAAACATATCACTACAAAATTTCTCTTGTTTGGCTGTGCACTTGTATGGCTTACTGGCTTTCAGTCTTTAGTTGTTACTGTTTTATTTTTATTTCCTGTATTGCAATTTTATACCACTGTACAATTTAATGGAAACAAAAAGCATGACATCATTATTTGAACGTAGAATTCAATGAGCTAGTGTGAAAATGATGTTTTGGTCTACAAGCACAAATATTTATGAAGATTTGGACTAGCAGATTAAATTATTACTCTAAAAGAAGCCTAAACAGGTATATGAAGCCTGTTGAACCTTCTGAAATAAACAGATTTTACATTTTGGGTAGTTTTTGTCAGTTTAAAATCTTAAAAAATATGCTGTTCTAGAGACATTTTTATGGCTTTATGATTATTCTACTAAAACTGTTAACTCTGTAAGTACTGGATGACAATAAAACAGGTGTTTTTGTTTGAGAGATAATTTTTTTACACCTTTCAGATACTTCCATCTACCAAAATTGATAAAAATACCACCTTAAAGAATGAACCATGCCTCCCCACAAGTCCAACACATCTAATTTCTGGAGCTAGCAATGCCCTCACTTGTCTTGTGAATGATAAAGACCTAATACTTGGAAGTAAACTTGGTGATGGATCATTTGGAGTAGTCCTGAAAGGAGAATGGGTGACACCTAGTGAGCGAAGAGTAGGTTTTATTTATCTTGAACTGAATTCAACTGTTAGTTTCAAACACAGATGCTGATTAGTTTGTATACACTGTGCTTAGATTGAAGGTTATTTTGAAAATTTTGATAGTGAGTATATTTAGAATAATTATAATTGACAAATATTTTCAAATGGAGTTGATAAAAATCCGCTGTTAAAATTCTTTTAGTTTAGTTGGGACTGGAAAAGTTCAGCTCAAAAGTAGTTACTGAGATTCTATTTTCATCTTGATTTTGGAGGAAGGTTGAAACGAAGTAAATATTTTTTACTCTTAGGTTTGTCTGATCTATTCTAAATAAACTCCCTTGTTGATTTAGTCACCGAGAGACTGAGGTGGTGTAACTAGGTCTAATTTCTTGTTGAATTAGTCATTGGCAGAAGGAAAGGGGGGAAAACTAAGAGTGATCCAAACTCGGTGTCCGGACTAGGACGTCAGTCCTACTCCTGGATACACACCTCCAACAGAATTTGGAGGTGTGAGAAACCATATGCAACTACTATTGAAAGGCTAATGTAGTATGACCAGATCTAATCTCTTGTTGACCTAGTCATTGACCTAGTCATAGGTGGTACAACTAGCTCTAATCTTTTGTTCACCTGTCACTGAGAAACTAAGGTGGTACAACCAGCTCTAATCTCTTGTTGACATATTCACTGAGAAACTAAGGTGGTACAACCAGCTCTAATCTCTTGTTGACATATTCACTGAGAAACTAAGGTAGTACAACCAGATCTAATCTCTTGTTGACCTAGCTACTGATAAAATAAGGTGGTATAACCAGATTTAATCTCTTATTGACCTAATCACTGAGAAACTAAGATGGTAAAACCAGCTCTAATCTCTCGTAGATGTACTCACTAAGATGGTACAATCAGATCTAATATCTTGTTGACTTAGTACAACTGGATCTAATTCATTATTTGTAATATTATAAGGGACTAAAGTTAAAGATTAGTGTATGCTTTTTAGTTTAGTTTTTCAACATGGCTTAACAACAACAACTCTTAATGACTGATGGGATGATAGTTTATTGTAGATTAGAAAGTTGTGTAGACCTGTGTTTTTCATCTTGTCATAGAGTTATACTGTACTCTTGGGATTTCCTGTTGTGCTTGTTTATAAATTTTACCAAAGTTTAGTTGAACTAGAAGTTACAGTAACTTATAACTTGTAATAAAACATTAGTTGGTAGAGGTAAATATTTAGGGTTAGATCACTTGTATTTTGTACTTTTGTAAAACATGTTTGATATTAATGAGAAGAAAATGTGTATGCTCCAAAACATACTTGCCTCCTATCACACTACAGTTATTACTCGACTGCCAGAGTTTCTTCCTTTGCCAATATAAACATTGGTCTGATTTTTCCTCACTAGCTCCAGTCTTTTATACCCCACTTAATTGCCCTTGGCAATATTTGTCTCATGACATTCTCTACATACATCAATGCACCCTCTATCTTGGTACTGTATATAAGCACCTCATTCAGATAATGTTATAACTTTTTCTTGACAAAGTATCACAAACCGGTTTCTTGGTGCTATGATAGTTCGAAGATACTTTAAGCATTCTCCATGTTACCTAATTGATTTTTCACAAAAAAAAAGATTTTGATTGGCATGCCAATTTACAGTATGAATTTCTGGAGGCAAATCAGGTCTCTAGTATCCCACCTCTGATATCTAGTGTCACTCTCAGTTGAGAATGTCAACGATCGTATTCGTAGTGAGATGGAGCCATATATTCGATTTGGTAGTGTTCCTCTAGGGGGCTCTGAGGCTGCAGTTGAGGGTGATCCTGGACATTCTGGAGAGAATTTAGATTTGCTTCTCCTTGTACCTTATTTTATTCTGTTGGCTTTTCAATCTCCATGTGGGACAGTGGTAAGTTTACAGACTTACAACATTGGAATCCAGGGTTCGATTCCCTATATTGGACACAGCAGATAGCCCAACGTTGCTTTGCTCTAACAAAACAAACTTACCTGACAATGTTGTTCCAAACAACCATAAATAGAACAGTCTTTAAAAGAAATAAAAAAGGAGGCCACTTTGGGATAAGCTGCCTCTGACTTGTTATCTTCAGTTGTTTCATCGAGAGTGTGATGTTTTGGGTCTTTCCCCAGTTGGTTTTGAGCCTGCACTTTACTTGATGGCTGAAAGGTCCGAGAGTGAATACTTAGTTTTCTTTCCATCCACGGACATTGTGGTTCATGCAGGGAGGTTTGTATCTCAGGTACATGAAGGGATAGTTATCCTTTATCTGCCACATTTGTTGGTACTATGTGATTTAGTCTACCACTGCCAGGTGGAAGCATATTCCGACTCTCAAATAATACATCTGATCTTCAAAATTATGGGTTTTAAGACAGAGTTTGTAGTTAACCTGAATAGATCTATGTCCCCTAGTTGGACAGTAGTAAGTTTACAGACTTACAACTCTAAAATTTAACATATTGTTTTTCCTAATACTAAACTTTGTTAGAAGACTCCCAGGATCACCAGTGTCATTGATGATGAGCTGGAACCATTGTTAGCATGCACATTGGTTTCATTGTCGGCTTCTACATTTAGCCCTGTTGCCATTGGCATTTCGACTTTCATCGGCTCTTACATGGGGTCATAGCTCCACCTTATTTGAGGGTCCTAACCCCCGACTTCACCCCCTTGGTACATTGGAACCCAGAATAGATAGTATCCATATCCAAGGTTTCTGCTGCTTGGTCAGAACACTGCCAGCAACATCACTTAATGTGGGTCTGTGGGGGGCTCGGCTCCAAGAATTTCTAGACGTGTGGTGACCTTAACTGCAGATCCATGGGCACTACATATCCTTGAATCAGGATTAGTCATTCAGTTCACATCTTTACCACCATTATCCATCCAACCTGTAGGGTTTCTCTCTCCCACAGATAATCAGAGTTTGGAACTTAGTTCTATGGCTATCAGAGTTTGGTTGGTCTGGGAGTAGTGAGAGAGACATGCTAGTTCTTCTAAGGATTTATTCCCATTGATTGTTTGCCTAAGCAGACAGGAGATTGGTGTCCAGTTGATCTTTCTTGTCTATATCAATGCCTAGATTCTCCAAGGTTCACAAGTGACTCATTCCTCAATCTGAGTTGGCATTTGGACGTCCAAGTTTGTTGTAGTTGGTTCCTATCTGCACATTGCCATAGTGGTAGCATCTTACCACTATCAGTGTTTTTGTGCACATGGGTCAGGTACTGCAGTTCAGGGTTTTTATCATCATGTTAGCATTGGCATCACATGGGTTCTACTGAATCGTCCAAGCTTTTCCTCATCACCTCCATTCCCTAGCACTGTGAACATACCATTCCATGGAGGACTAGTTACTGCTGACACCATTTTGTCAATTGTCAGAATATCACACCCAGATTTTACTTTCAGAAACAACCAAGACAGGTTTCATTCTCAGAGCTGAGACATCTATTCTTGCTCAAACTCAGTATGTCGTTAGTCTGGGTATTTTTTTATTGCGTATCTTGGTCAGGCTCAGCTGACTCCCATCTGGCCATGGAACAGGAAGCCAGACTGTTACTCGCCTCACCTTCTCACACTGCACAGATGGTTCTTTCTCTTTTGGGAATGTGGGCATCACTCGAATCCCTCATGCTTTTGGGATGAGCACACAATAGATTCTTTCAAGGATCTTTAATCGACCAACGGATAATAAGCATAGATTCACTGGATTCCACAGTTTCCTTATTCAGGATCATTCTTCCATCTCAAGGGGTTACTACTAAGATATGTGTTCCTCTGCTGCCACCTTGTCCAGAGATCTGTCTGTTCACAAATACCTTGCTTCAGGGATGGGGTGCATATCCCCACAGTCAGGAATTTCAGGATCCACGTACAGACAACGAGGCTTTCCTACACAATGTTTTAGTCTTTCTTGCTCTTTAAAAGATGGTCTCATGGTCTAGGTCATCATGTTTCAACAATTCCATGTTGGTGTCTTGCATTTACCATCAAGGAGTCATTTGGTCGAGACTCCTTGTGTTTGAACCTTAGACCTCCTTTCTTATCAATATCATCCTACTAGCTTGCCATGTTCCATGAGTGATGACTGTGATAGCAGATCAATTGTCTTGACCCAAACAGATTCTTCCAACAGAATAGATACTGCATCACAAGGTTCTGTTGGATTGGCTCTCATTTTGAAACACTGATAATTGGTGGGTTGGCCACTCATTGGAACACCAAACTACTGACAATTTGGTCTCCAGTACCTCACCTTTGGGCTTTGGCAATGGATGCATTCCGTCAGGACAGGACGGGATTACAGCTCTAGGCCTTCCCTCCAAGATACTAACTATGATTTGTTCCAACCCAATGTTGGGTCCTGTTGATAGCACTGGATTGTTAGCTACACCTTGGTTTCTGCTTCTGTGGTACCTTCAAGAGTGCCCAAATCTTATCTTCCTCTTTAACCATCTTTGTGGAGGCAGCCATGATACACCCAGCATGGGGTTATGAAGTTTAATTTCTAAGGTAGCCATGTGTCTATTTGTCTTTGCTTATTCCCACGATGGACATTTATCAACGGAAATGTCACACATATCAGCAATGGTGTATTGAGAGGAGGTTGAACCCACTTCCATCAGGAGTGCCAAGTATAACTCATTTTTTGACCTGACTCTTTGGCAAGGGTTTTGCATTTTCCACTATCACCTTATATAAGGTGGCCTTGTTGACTACCATTTGATGCTCTAGACAAAATTTTTTTGAGTCCCCAGTACTTTCCAGGTTCCTCAAGTCACTTTGGGTCCTTTGGCCCAAACAAACATTCCAGTTACCTAACTGGTATATTAAGGTTACATTACATGCTCTTTTTCAGCACCTGTTCGTGACCTTAGTGTCATATGCCATGTACCACCTTTACCTGAAGGTTTATTTTTCATTGCTGCTGATCTATAGACCTTGCCAGTCGAAGTGGTTTGTGCTGATTGTCCACAGGATGCTTTATCATTCCTTAGACTCGTTCTTCTTACATAAGACACTGTCAGCCAGGGAAGAGGATAAATCCTTTTCACCAATTCATCTGATCACTATTTCTCACTTCTATGACCAATCAGATTTCAATCGTTATTATGTTCAGTGAGGGTCTTGAAGGTTTTGTTGCCTGCACTAATACCTTTAGAGATGCTAGACCACGGCTTTTTATTCATTGGGATCATTCAGTTCCCAATTCATCCCTGATTGCATTGACGAGTTGGGTACAAAAATTGATCAATGTTGCTCATTCTGGGCTTTTTTGAAGGCAAGGAATCTTCTGCAAGCCATGTCTAATCTGTTTCATGACATTTCTGCATCCTTTGTGGCCCAGTTGAATTACCTGCTGGGGGACATTGTGCAGACTGGTATGTGGACCTCCCCCAATACTTTCATCTCGTATTATTTGCATGATCTGACAGTATCTTCATCTTAGGGTTTTCGACTACCCCCTGTAGCTATCTTAACTACTTCCACTATATTATACAGAGGGGTGAGTATTTTCATTACTACCTTTCAGGGTCCTTTACTTTGTTTTCACAGGATTCCACTCTGTGGTGAATGTTGCCCAGGCAGGTGTGCTTTTATCAAACCAATCCTGCACTAGCAACCACTAATTCAATATACTTTATCTAGGTTGCAACAGGCTCTCTAGAAATTAGGTGTTCCATAAGACCACTTAGAGGCTGACCAAGTGGTATTACTGTACTATGCTGAACCACCATTCATGGGCTATCATGAGTAAAGCATAAGAGGATGCTACTCATCCCTGCCAATCATTGGATTGAATAAATAGGGGTTAGTTTGCTGTAAAAAATGATTGAGGTGCTTATATACAGTACTAGGATAGAGGGCTCATTCATGTAGGTGGAGAGTGTCACGAGACAAATATTGCCATAAGCAATTAAGTGGAGTATAAAAGACTGGAGCAAGCAAGGAAAAATCAGACCAATGCTTAGATGGGCAAAGGAAGAAACCCTGGCAGCTGAGTAATAGCTTTATTTGAGCAGAGGTAACTATTATTGGAAATACCTTTTAGATTTAGGAAAATGTGAACTTTCATGCTCTAACTCCTAATTTCCAGGATATTTAGCTTTCACCTTCACCACTTAGGTTTAACCATATCATACTCTTTTCTGTTTAATTATAGGTGTTTCATCCCTTTATTTAGTGGTATATACAAATTGAATGACCCGTTTTTGTTTTTGACACATTACATTCATTTTAATGCTTCAGTGTCTGTTAGAATATTAATATTTTTGTTTAGAAATGAAGCATTTAGATTTTTTAAGTAAACAAAGTCATTTTGAAATAAGGAATTCACTAATAAGGATATGTTTTAGTTTAATTTTTTTTTCATATTCTGAATATATTTATCAAATTTCTTGTCAGCAGTGTTGGAAAAACATGTCTCTAGCACTTTGTTATTGAACTGAAACTCAAAAATTAACTTAATCTGTTAAAATGAGTATAAAAACTACTTCATAATAACAAAATGTGAATTCTTTGGAATGGTTTTAACCAAATTATTGTGTAGTGGATGATTTAACATACAACATGATTATTTTACATTGAAATTACATTCTAGATTCCAGTAGCTGTGAAAGTCTTAAAACAAGATGCTTTAGCTCAACCAGGAGCTTTTGAAGATTTTGTGAAAGAAGTGAATGCCATGCATCAGATGAATCATCCAAACCTGATTCGGTTGTATGGGGTGGTGCTTTCTAGTCCCATGAAAATGGTTTGTGTTCTTTTTGTTTTTCTAGAAAGTGTTTAAAAATAATATACAGTTAATTAAAAATATTAAAGTTAAAAATTATATAGACTTTAAAACCACACAGTTGCTTATTTAGTAGCAGACCTGCAAAGGAGGTAAGTCTAACTCTTCAATTTTGTTATTACATATCTTGCAATTTTGATCAATATATATATATATCATTACTCAGTTGTTCTAATGTATGACTGTGACAAGCCATCTACTATAGATCTGATGCCAAAACATAAACATTTTATAAGATTAATGACATACATACATGTTTTTAATTTTTTATTTGTTAAATTATTTTCCTTAATGTCAGCATATTTTCAGCTAAATATATATTTACTTACAGATAAAATATGCTGCTTGTGAAACTTTATCATTAATGTATTATATTTACATATCTGTATCTAACCTCCCTTTCCCTATGATTTTAGGTCACAGAACTGGCACCACATGGATCGCTTCGTGATCGGTTACGCAAAGAATGCCACCATACACCAATAGTACAGCTTGTAGAATATGCAGTGCAGATAGCTAATGGGATGGCTTATCTTGAGTCTAGACGATTTATTCACCGAGATGTAGCAGCAAGAAACATGCTTCTTGCCACAGGATATCAGGTAGATTTGCTTATTAGTTGTTAAACAATTGATTTTACTACATATTCAATTACAGCAAGCTTTGAAAAATTTACAACTAACTTTTAAGTTTTGAATTTTATATATGACTCATTACACCATGCCCTGGAGCATCAAGAGTTTTTCATCCATTGTTATAAATTATTTTATTTTTGATTAGCAAGGATTTTCTCTTGGGAGCCCTGAGGTTTGGTAATTATTATTCCCTGAGTGACTCAGAAAAACTATATGTACCATATATAAGTTCATGGGATACCCACTGGTATAATGGTGACCCCAAGGGATGGCATAATGGGTCATATATAGATAGATATATGTTGTTTGACTAGGGTGTAATCACAAAAAGGGTTTCATGCTGTTTTATCATTATTATGAGCTAAGGATATTAATACTTACATTTAAAATTTTTCTTTCTTGGGTGCAAACAAATTATAAATGTAGAAATTTAAAGTTTTGAAAAATGTGGATAATGAAAATTAAGTATTAGGAAGAGTTAGCTTGACTGTGTGTTTTATTTGATTGTGTAAAGATATACTTGAAATAATTTGTTTACCGAGCTTAATTATCAAGTTATTTTATCTTTAGTAGGATAACTGAATAATGTTAATTTTCTATTTGGCAGTTTAGAGAAAGATTGATAACTGGTCCTACATATATTTGTATATATTGAAGATGTTACTTCAAAGTGACATACACATTGGACATACACTAATGAGAATGAGTAACTGATAGTAATGCACACATTTAACAAGTTACAACAATGAAAGGAGATGATAATATAATATATGATATTAAAATATGTTGTTTATAGCTACATTATTTATGGCAATATGAGATTTAACATAGTAAGAGAGTTTTCCACCTTATGTTGCATTTATGTTTTGTTATTGGTAGGGGATTGAAAGTGAACATAATTGGCTTCTTTAAAAATCTGTAGATTCCTTTGAGTGTAAAATGATCTATCTAAGCTTTCATCATCTTGTTCCCCAACATCATAATTCAGATGAAGTGTAAGACAATAAAGCAGTGATTTATAACTTATAATAGCAGGTTCAAATGGCAATAAAACAATAAAACTTAATTATAAATAGATCTATACTGTTACGAACTTAGAGCTACTTAAGATAAACGAATGTAGTTTTATGTTACAATTTGAAGTCATTCTAGAAAGAAAAAAGGTAATTTAGGTTTTTTATTTATTTTGGTGGTTATGAGGTCATTTGACTGATTCTGTTTTGAGATAGGGTAGAGAAAATAACAGATAAACTATAAACTTTTACTGAAAAAAAACGTTTGAAATGCATTTAGGAGGTTTTGGGGATTACACAAAGGAAATTTGAGATTTTTGAGATAAGGAAAAGTGTTTTTAATTTTAACATGAAAATTACTTTGCACATGGACTATTCAAAACAAATACTCAAAGTATTCATGGACAAATTTATTTTCTTTTATTAAAAATAATTCACTAAAAAACATGATTTTTTGTATGTGAAAAACTTATAATATGAAGTGAAAGATTGCCAAATTTTGTGAAGATATACACACTATATTGAAAGTTAGAAGTATTAAATCTAAAAAGACTTTAATCGAGTACAAAAAGGAAAAGAAGAAATGTACTCAAATGTTTATCTCTGCACTGTTCTGAGGAGTCTCAGCTGTAAACAACACACATGTCAATTTTTTACACCCATCCCAAAGAATAACTTTAAATTTGCTAAGACACTTTCATTCCTTGGCAATATATTATCCATTTCTTGATTTTCAAACATTTCTCATGTCATTTTCATACACGTCATAATTTCCACCCTTTGATGATGACACGTCTAAAGGTTTGATCATTTAGTAACGAAACACAGCTTTCGAAACAACTATAGAAAAAGTTTAAATATGATTGGATAGAGAAGGAATTAGGCTTTTCAAGTCATAGTAGAGTAAATACAGTAGTTTATGACTTTATGGGAAGTTACTAGTCAAAGCTTTTGTAATATTGAATAAAGGATTTCAGTGTGATACTTTGAAGACTTAGGATCAAACCACAGAGCTAGGAATGTTTTAATAGCTTCTTTAGACATTATTTTCATTTGCAAAAATACTTGCATGTTAAATTATATGTTTGAAACCTACAGAAATTCTCTTTGATGAGAAGACATCAGATAAGCTTAGTGAGTACAATAGGTGAAACAAGGTATTCTGATGACCCACATTCTTATTATTTGAATATTTTTTTATGCTTATCATATTCCAAATGAATATGCTAACTAGCTACTTAATTATTTCTAATTACAATCATGATATGTTTTAGATAAAAACATTACTACCATTATCAGTGAGAGTAAAACATGCTTTTATTATTTAGTTATTAATTTATTTAACTTGCATGAGATCAAAAGGGGGATTACTTGCCGTTTTCTTTCTTTTTAAAATACTAACTTTGTAGCCATATTGGCATTAACCATTTACCAAGTAGGAAATGTTCAGATTATCTTAAAAAAAATTTGTTTTGCAAATCGCAACTGTCAGCAGAAATACTGTATCATATTTATCATCTGTAGAAATTCATATAAGCATGTAATTTTTTGGTACTTATTAATGATCAATGTTAGTATTACTTATGTATAAAGTTAGTCTTATAATTACTCTAGTGTGGACAAGTCAGAGCACATAATAAAGATTGATATCACTTTAGCACTATATTATGCAAGGAGGATCAGCGTTTACACTAGCCCTATATTTTATCTGCATATATCTGCAGTTTTGGAAATACAAAACAACAATTAAAGGATTGTTAGACCATGTTTTTTTTTCCCCAAATTTGCTAAGTAACTACGTCAGAACTTCTGATATAATTAAAGAACGTATCAAATTTATCATAATTTGTATTGCATTTAATATAAATTTTGATTATAGATTATAGTCTGAGGCCTTTTGTTTCAATACTGATATTTTTTGTTTCATTTGTGTGAGGACATTGTGGTTGAATAATGATTTTTTGAATCAATCATTATGTATTTTATCTCTGGCTAAACTTAGTTTTACCTAGCTTAAAAATCTTCTATATGAATAGCTAATAATACTTGTGCTTTGAAATCCATGGACTTTTTGACATGTTGATACAACAGGGTGTCCAAAAAGTCTTGAATCATAGGCACTTCAACAAATTTTACAGAATGCCATACTTGTAATTTGAAACAAGTTTGGATTAACAGCAGGATTAACTCAACCTTCTCATGCTTTGACGGTGTCATAATCAGTCATGTATCTGAAATTAAGAAAGTCTGGAAATCACATATGTCTCCAGAGTTTTTGGACACCGTGTATATTACATTATCAAAACCTGATTTCATTAGATGCATGAGGACAGACCTTTTAAACTTATCAAGTTAGAAGGATCAGGCTTATTTGGCTGTTACAATAAATAAATAAATCATCAAGAATTCACTAGTTAAAATGCAAAATGGATTCCTCATAATTATTAGCTTGCACAGGTAAATTCTGATAATTAGATTAGATTACATAATTAGATTACTTACTGAGCAATAGTTAGTGTTAATTTGTTTAAGTTGTTTTAAACACCTCGACTTAGTTATGTGATTAGCTCGTGTTCTTCATTTTATGTTCGCACTAGACAAGTCATCAACACGAAAATTATTTGTAAACTGTTTCCACTGTTGATTTCAGATAAAGATTGGAGACTTTGGGTTGATGAGAGCTCTTCCTAAACAAGAAGATTGTTATATTATGACTGAACAGAAAAAAGTTCCTTTTCCTTGGTAAGTGTGGCGAGTTTTCATTTTTCTGTAGAACGGAAACAATAAGGGTTGTCTAGCACATTTTGATATACTGTAGTTTGCTGTTTTTACATGATGGGCTTCAAGAAAAAAATAAGAATACATAAAAATTATACTTTAGTTATAATATGATAAATAAAAGGCATTTTCTGTCAGTAACATATGGGTATTTTTTTGTGTGAAATATATAAATAATCATTTGAGTTTTATTAATGTTATTTTTTGGAATATTCTGATAGTTTATTAATGCTAATTTTGTAGCAACAATGTTATGTAAAATGAATAACTTAACTGTTAGGTGTGCTCCCGAAAGTCTCAAGTCTCGACAGTTTTCTCATGCCAGTGACACTTGGATGTTTGGAGTTACTTTGTGGGAGATGTTCACCTTTGGTGAAGAGCCCTGGGTGGGTTATAATGGTGCTCAGGTGAGAAAATACTTATTTGTTTTTCAAACTTATTATGTTAATTGTGTAAACCAAAGTTTACTGTTTTCACCTTATACTGTGAAAATAAAATTGGTTGGATAACTGATACCATGTCTTGCCATTCGTTCATCTGTTTTTTGTATAAAATGACTTATAGTCCATGTTAGGAACATGCTCTTTACAAAGACGGTGTATTTGTTTTTTGTAGCACAGAAACATTGTAATGGAAATACTCTGCAGACATTAATTCATGGAAAAGTAATAGATGTTGATACAGATGAATAAACTGTTAGAGTTGGTGCCATGTAAAGACTTAACATTATTGTGTTTTCAGTAGTTGCTTCTAGCTTGGCAAAGAATTTTATAGGAGAATTTCATGACTGTAACTTTCCTAGAGACACACATTAATTGACTGTTTTAAACTATGTAATTAGTAAAAAACAATTGTTGAACTTTAATGGTATTTGTTCGTCAGTCAATTCTACTTGTAACAAAACCTTTAACAGTTCAACAAGTAAAATGTGGAAATAACCATACTTGTGTAGCCTTTGTGGAGCTTGAAGTAACTCTTGGTAGCTTGCCATGAAGTATATACTATAAAATATAAGCCTAAGCAGACACAAATGTAATCCAACAAAGTTGATAATGAGGAACCCACCTTTTGATTGGGTAATGAAAAAACTTTACTATAAATGTACGATGTTTCGACAAGATTTTGTCATTCTCGTCCCAGTCAAGCTGTCTCAAAACTTTTATTTTGTAATCCAACAGAGAATACATTGAATAAATTCCATATTGAACAAGAGTAAAAGAAAAATGATGAAATAAAACCAATTTTCTTACCATTGAAGTCTAGGCCTTTACCAGAGAAAACGTTGCAAGGGTGAAAAAGAGCATTACTAGGAAATTCAAAATATCCAATCAAGTGACTCCTGTTATATCCATAACCACATATGGTGTCTAAATAATATTAAAAACCTTCCTAATCATTACTTGCTTTCTGTACTTAATGATTAGTTTGTTCTTTTTTTTGAATAAGAAAAACTCAAACATATTTTCTTTTAGTGTATAGTTATGAAGAAATTTTAACACAGAGACTATACAGTATGGTGTTATGAATAAACAGAATTTAACACTGAGACTATACAGTATGGTGTTATGAATAAACAGATTTTAACACTGAGACTATACAGTATGGTGTTATGAATAAACAGATTTTAACACTGAGACTATACAGTATGGTGTTATGAATAAACAAATTTTAACACTGAGACTATATAGTATGATGTTATGAACATTACTGGCTGATGTGGAAGTCATTTCTACAATTCTCAAGGATCAGCCTTATGTAATAGTGCTTTCATCCTGATGTTATCAATATCATATTCCTTAGAGAATTTAAATAATCATCACTAATAAGGAGAAATTTTAATAGGTTTAAGGTGGTATATCTTTTACAACTAATGAAATGTTAAGTATGATGCATGTACAGCAGTGCCAAAAAATACAGAAACAAGGTAAAAATGAATACATAAAACCATAAATAAGTAGCCAGTAAGTACTGAGTCAACCTTACAAGCATATGGTTACTAGCCACTGTAAGATTGTATAGCACTATTCAGTTTAAATGGTTTTATTCAAACCTGAATTCATGCAACTGACAAGAATTCAACATTTAGTTTTAGATAAAAGTTATTCTTGGAAAGATTTGGTTACTTATGTAGTGATTTTTTGTCTATTTATCTCTGCCTTGTTTCTATACTTTTTGGCATTGTAGTCTGTACATCTTACTTAATTTTGGCAAATTAATTGATTAATTTTTTATTACTTGTTTCCCCTCTTTCTTTTAAAATAATTTCATTGAAGTAGGTTGATAAGTGAACATTTGCTATATTTTTATAATTCAACAGTAGTATATTTTGTTAATATCAAATCAGTTTTGTCAGTTTCATCATTGTATTTATAGATATTATACCATACAATTGGCTACAATAGAGTATTAATCATCACTGGTCATAATCTTGACTTCTTGGGACTTAATGTTGAGGAACCTACAGTAAGGAAAGAACATATGGAAAATCTATACCTCTGTCATCCCTATATTTATGTTTGCATTCGTTTCGACGCTGCCATCCCTATATCATTTTACATTTACAAAATATTTTTTATAACTTGTTTTGTGATGCTTTTTTCCCCTTACTGAAAGTTAGTGTTTTCTATGAATGTATGTAATAAAATTTAATATTATGTGTATTGATTATTTTTTTTACTTCATACATAATATAGGGGTTGTCTCTCTAAAGACATCAATTGTATAGTGTATAAAGCATTGAGTATTCTACACGTTACAGTCATCTAATGTTCATCTATTATTGACTGATAATTCCTGTTTCACCCTATACTTAAGCTTTTTAAAGGAACACCAGATTTCTATAAGAAAGCTAACTTCAAGGGTTAATGATAACGTTGTTTTCTCTAAAATTATGATTTGTTTTTCAGTTTATACTAAACACCACCTTGCTTAGTGATAGCCTATTCCCAAGTGCTCTTAAAACGCTTTTCTGTCATACTAAAGCCATTCACATATTTTAACTAGGGTGGGAAAAGAAAAAGAAAGATGAACACTTTGGCTCCACTTTAGTAACACCTTTTAATTATATTGGGAGTCTCATAAACCTTGAAACACTCAATAATGCCAATTAGTTGCTCAAATAAGGCTTTAACTCAACTTTAGCTGTTATTTGTAAGCATCATAGAGTAATAGATTGAATGTGGCAGCCATTTTTTTTCTCGGCCCATCCCTACATACTAAGCACTACCATGCTTAATGACAAACACAGCTGTTTCCAGTTTATCTGTTTTAGATATCAATTTAAGTGAAAATGGTTTCTTGTTGCAGATGCATCAAACTTGTGATAAAAACCATTCATTTTGTGAGGGATTTGATGGTTTTTGTTATTATGTTAAAATGATTTAAGAAATTCTAATCCCTTTTTTATCATGTTAGAATAGTTTTATGTCAATAATAGTTTCATTGTGTACAAAAACAAGGATGTCTCAGAAAGTTTCTTATACAAAATTATTTGGGTATTTGGCAATAGATAATTCTTATCAAACGTAACTTGAATAATATGACATTTTATTTAATTTTTATTCCATTCTTTTTTTTATAAGACCATTTCTGTTGGTTACTGTATTAGATACTGCAGAAAATTGACCAAGAAAGTGAACGCCTTTCCTTGCCAGAAGCTTGTCCTTCTGTTATTTATCAGTTGATGCTCCAATGTTGGGCCCATAAACCTGCAGATAGACCAACTTTCCTGGCTCTCAAAGACTTCCTTTTGGAGGTATCTTGTTTTAAACTTCATTTATCAAACAGTGCTGTGAGTCACATTTGTTTTTAAAATGTTGAACCAACAAACTTGTGGGTATGCTGACATGGGTGGGGAAATAGCAGACAGTTACCAGAAATAAGCTAACAGAAGTTTTTAGATTGTCTAGTTTTAATGTGGATGCCTGTGGAACTTACTGCTTTAGTACAAGTGAAACAATGATGATTAAAGCTACTAATATATATTTGTGTACATGTAATATGCAAATACTAGATATTTTACTTTCCTACAGTGCATATATTTCATATCTCTTCACAGTTTTAAAGTTTCTATTAAGTTTTACTCTAGAACGTTTCAGTCATGTTGCTATAATATGCTAAATTCAGTCTGATGGATTACTTTTTCCACTAGATTTGATCAAAGAACTTATCCACTGTTTTATAGAATAGTTTCATTGTAACGTACTTTACCTTTTGTATAAAAGTTGTATTTCCTTAACAAGCACAAGATATCCATAAGATAAATTAGAATAATGCTAAAATTGGTGATTTTATAGTATGGTAACCATGACGATTCATTATTAGTTGTGGCAGGGGTGATGAAACTGTGTGATTGATTTACCCCTGAACTACCACAATTTATCCCAGTCAGAGCAATTTTAGTGCTGTTTAATAGAATCTATTAATAAATCTGTTCCACCAAATGACTTTTCTCTTTTGTGCTCATTGTGAGAAAATATTTAACAGATGTCTGTCTTTTTGTGGCAAGAACTTTAGCATAGTGGAAAAGAGTTAAGTTGATCTGAGGGTGAGGGCAAGAGGACTTCCTTTTGACTCAGGAAAGTCCTCTATTCAATGCTGGGTAGTCTCCTGCCCTATGGCAGGCATTTCAGAAATTTATTCTCTATCTGTCCATTGAGAATATTGAACTGTGACCTGATCCTTCAGGTACCACTGGTAAGGTTAGTCAATCTTTAAGAGACAAGCCAAAGACCTAGATGGGAAGCTGCCATCAAGGGGTTTTCAACCATGGCTACACTGACACCAGCTGTGGCTGGCTGTTCAGCAAATAATGGATATCAGTATCCAACATTCCAAAGTCACTCACTGAATAACTTCTTCAGAAGCAGTTGGAGGTAAGCTACATTAGGTGAGAGTGTTTGCCAACCCATTTCTACTGGCATCCCTGGAGACGTGATGCACCCTAAACAGGTCAAGAACCCTTTCATTGTAAGAGGAGAAGTGTTGATGGTTTGCAGTAACCAGAATCTAGTGTTTGACAGTCCTTGGTCATTAATGGCATTGAGATGACAAAATGTTGCGTGAAAGGGAATTCGACATTCAGCAGAATGTAAAATCCTCAGCCATTAGAGAGAACTCAATGCCAGTGTTAGCACTAACTCTGCAGTCATTCATATAGAATGGCATACATGATGAAAGGTTGTTCTTGTTGCAACTCATAGGAAGTAGTAAATTGAAACATAATGTATCATCATATAAGAAATCAGCAAAAAAAGATTTAGATGTCTTACTCATCTAGTTTCATGTGGTAACCATAGAATTTCTGGACCCAGAAGCATATGAAGTGGCATATGCTGGTTAGTTTAGACAGGCCGAAACTAGAACTGTAGAATATCTAGAACCTGATCAACCTTGTAGCTGATAAGCTATTTTTGTATAGCTTAATTAATGATTTAACATGAGACATCTATCTGGCAGAATTTTAGGATCATCAGAATGTTGTGTACAAGATTTAGCTGTGATGCTTACATTCTAAAGCATATGCCAGCATCCAATAGAGAGGATACCCTAGTCGATAACTTTGTGATCTCATGTGGATGTTAGAGATATGTCTCAAACCAATGCTGTATTCTTGGCATGGAGGTCTAAAATATTCATTTCTACCAAATTACTGGAGTAAAAAAATCCTGCAGTGGCTCTTCTAGAAACACTACATCTTAACATGCTGATCTCACTTTATGGAAAGTCACAATAGATGGCACTACATCTGAAGAGGCTGTTTTTGGTAGGTAAGTTCAGCCTGAATGGCTGCCAGCTGTGCTGATGATGCAGACAAAAGGCATTTAAACTCGTGGAAAGGCAGAAGAAATGAATGTTATAGTGGTGGAAACAGATGATAGGGAGACAACAGGCTATAATTGTTTAAGGCCTAGTGATTTAAACTTGGATAATATTTGGGAGAAAACAACCATCTGTATGTTTCTTTAGGTGTGGGGATTAGTGTGATGCCTACGGGTCCAAGTGTGGTTTAGTATGTGCCAGTGAAATTACATAGATGCAAGTTAAGAGTTTTTAGGTGATCCAAGTGCCAGTAAAACTACTTAGATCTTGTGGTGTATCAATAATTTTCATGTAAACTACCACTTGGACCAGTAAAAACAGTTTTCTTACTTGCAAATGGGAATTTGCTTACAGTGAATGGAGAAGTCCAACTCCATCTCATTCTATGTGCCATCACAAGATGTGCAAAAGTAGCAATAGTAGTATATCCGTGTTCAAGTATGGACATTTTAGTTGTACAGATGTTGTCTGCTAGTGTAGCATTTGCAACAGGTGAACTTCAGCTTTGTGGTGTTATCTTAAAATGTCCACCAAAATGTGCAGAAGAGCAGTAGACTGTTGAAGTGTATATAGATGATGTTTTTACAATTCTTTTCAAGGTGTTGTATAATGGTGAAGTGTGAACACAATCTTAGATAGTACCACCAGCTAGTTGTGGTTGAAGTGGTGCCTGAAAAACACAGACAGAGCAAGCCATGCTTGTTTGAACAGTTATATTTCCTAGCAAGATACATTCCAGTTATCTTTTGTAAGTCTAGCTGAAATGCTGCAGAGATACTATAGGGACTAATATGGTGCATGGTGGTGAAGTAAGTAACAGAGAAGATAGTGTTATTTTAGCCAGACTGTGCCAGTAAACTAATGATTTTAGACTGTTGATTAAAGATTGTGGAGGGAAGACTTGAGAGGTTACTGATGGAATTCACTGATATATTTATTGGATGTATACATGCCACGTGCATACTTGTATATTGTAAACAAATAATCATAGTAACTAAAATCTACAAATCAATATGAAACACTTATATCCAAAAGAAGAATAATTTAGATTATGAAGAAAGAAAATACAATGAAAGTATACAGTAAAGTAGCAACAAATAAAGTTTGCCAGTTGTGTGGGTCTTTTCTCTAGCCCCCAATGGCACGATGGTAAGTATTTCAGGCTTATTATACTAAAAACCAGGTTTTGATGCTTGTGATAGGCATAGCACAGATAGCCTATTGTGTAGCTTTGTGCTTAACTATTAAAAAAGAAACTTTTCTGCATGGTACAAAAGTGACTTGAGAAAGAGGACTTTGTCTGTTGCAGTATACGTAAGGTTGGTTGGTTGTTTTGAATTACGTGCAAAGCTACACAAGGGCTATCTGCGCTATCTGTCCCTAATTTAGCAGTGAAAGACTAGAGGGAAGGCAGCTAGTCATCATCACCCACTGCTAGGTCTTGGGCTGCCCTTTTACCAATGAATAATGGGATTGACTGTCACATTGTAATGCCCTCATGGCTGAAAGGGCGAGCATGTCTGGTGGGACAGGGGTTCTAACTCGCGACCCTCACATTGCGAGTCGAGCTCCCTAACCATCAGGCCACGAGTTTGTAGTTTCTTATTTTGCTCTGTTGAGTGCCACGTGGGATGCTTTTCTCAAGATATCTGTGAACCAGTTATTCTCCTGCAGGGTGAATGGCACTCATCTACTGTATGTTAGTGAAAATATAGGTAGTTAAGTTTTTTTTTAGTGCAGTTATAGAAGCCTGCCTAAATTGATGCTTTTCTCAAAATATCTGTGAACCAATTATTCTCCTGCAGGGTAATTGGCACTCATCTACTGTATGTTAGTGAAAATATAGGTAGTTAAGTTTTTTTTTTTTAGTGCAGTTAGAGAAGTCTGCTTAAATTGTTGTAGCAGAGTGAATTTTCTTTTAGGTAACATGTATGAAACCTTTACATTTGTTTATGCATTGATAGTGTGGAAAAACTTCAAGCATAGTTGAATTACAGGCTTCAACAATCCACCCTACACTGAAACTTGAACTCATGACCTGTGTCCGGATGTGTTGATCACTGATGACTTTATTCCATTTTGTGTTTTTCTGTTCATGGACATGGACAGTTCCCTCTTGGTATTTGTCTTCCATACTATTTAACTCTGAAAGGATGAGGGTGAAGATGAGATGCTTAAAGTTATGAGTGGCAGCTCAACTTCTGATTTCCAAAAACTGTCTTAAGTGGTGCTGAAGGAACTCATGCATTTAATCTCATCATTTGGTGGTTTGGATACTTCGCCTTCACCAGCAATGCTATGCCTGATGCCACTGACCCAGATTTCAAACCAAAGACTGGCCATTATAAGAAGTGTTACTTGGTTACAAAATAAAATATAATGGAAAAGGAGAAACTTCTAAAGCAGATGAGGAAATGAATTTGATATATAAAATATTCATATTTAACAACAGAAGATCTGGTGGATCTACTTTAAGATGGTGAATTGGTTGTTCTTGCTGCAGTTGATCATCATCCTTCCAACAACAGCTTTCTGATGATGTCATTTGCTTTGGCCAATTTTGCTCGATTTCCATAAGATCTGCTCATAGCTTCTTTATTTAGTCATCAGCCCTGATGTTCCTGTTCCTGGAGTTGGTACTCCATAGAGCATGTAGGCCCAGGTGATGTTAGAAAGTTGCACTTGAGCTCAGGGGTGGTTTCCCCACCACTTACAACCCATGAGTCATGGTCTTTACCGATAATAACTTATTGCTTCAACGATGGCATCTGTGACCCCAGCTATCCTGTCAGTGATATCAAAGGCACTGAGGTGGTTTTGGTTGCTTGAGCATCTGAATGCTTTTGAGTTGTTACTATGGCTTGATGAGACTCGTCAGTGGTTATGAGGTCATCTTTTCACTTGGCTGCTCAGTGAACTTTTTTTTTTTACTGT